TTTCTTTCCTTACTTTACTGTCTCACTCTCCCTCATCTCTCACTCACCCTTTTTTTTTTTTTCCCAGTTACTAATTGGGGAGGAAAGGTGGAATGGTTCCAAGAGAGAAGGCAGATGGGTTCGGTTTTGTGTTTTTTTAAAAATGCCCAGGTGAAGGGGTTGGGGTGAATGCCTGGCTTTGGCGAATATCCTCAGATTTGGATTGTTCCGTGTCCGTGTCCTCACAGCGGGGTGCTCATTGGTGCTGTTAATCTAGTGCTTTACCCCCCAAACCCTGGGGGGGGGGGGGGCAGCTGGTGTCGCCCGGCTCAGAGGCCCCAGGGTTAACTTCCAAGCAGATCACTTGGAAAGGGCTGGTCCGCAGCAGAGTTCCTCTTTTTCCCACAGCGGGCTGGTGTGGGAGCTCATGATGAGCCACTGGCAGTTGGTCCCAGCAGTTCCCTCTCCATGGGAAATGTCCAGCCACCCACACTTCGGGCGGCTTCGGAGCCAGTGGATGGTTTACTTTCTCAGCTTCTGTCATGACCCTTTACACCAGCGGTTCTCCACCTGGGGGTCGAACGACCCTTTCATAGGGGTCGCCTAAGACCATCGGAAAACACATATATAATTACATATTGTTTTTGTGATTCATCACTATGCTTTCATTATGTTCAATTTGTAACAATGAAAATACAGCCTGCATATCAGATATTTACATGACGATTCATAGTAGTAGCAAAATTACAGTTATGAAGTAGCCACGAAAATAATTTTATGGTTGGGGGTCACCACCACATGAGGAGCTGTATTACAGGGTCGCAGCATTAGGAAGGTTGAGAACCATTGCTTTACACGTTTAACCTCTGATGCTTTTTCTGGCTCAAATTGTTTGGAGGTGACTGGCCTGTTTTTGTTGTGCAAAATCCGAATTGCTTACTAACTATTCAAACGGTGCCTTTTCACTTTGCCAAATAAGCAGTCACTAAGGCAGAAATGGTCAAATGATACTCGCATGGCCTCCAAAAAGACAAGAACAAGGCTTAAGAAAATGTTGGTTCAGAAGTTACAATCTCATCTGTGTATGATTTTTCATTTATATATAACGTTATCACGTACACACGTAATTATTTCCATATCTGCCTGTACATAGAGAAGCATTTTTTGGTTCCGCTGCGTCTACTTCTCCAGGCCTAAAACCGTCGCAGGTTGCGTACTGTGGGTTTTCTGCAATTGTTGGGATAAGGCGCCTTGCTAATTCCAGGAAGGGACTTAAAGGGAAATGGTGCATAGAGGTTTCAAAATCACATTTACTTCCCTTTTGTGTGTGTCTCTGTGTATACATCTATATGTTACTCAAGCGTATTGAGGTGTAGAATGTAAAAAGTTACTGGGTCCGAGTTAACAGCTTCCTCACGTGCTGTATTTACGCCGGTTTCACAGTGCAAGGATCTGAAATTGGACTTTTCTTCCTTTTCTTTGCTGGTTTCCTGTCAGTCATCCCGTTGTCAGGTTGCTTGGAAACTTCTCATGGAGACATCGAGTCCACACCCAACCTGGGTCCCAGCCCCAGCGCCCCCCACCCCCTAACCCCCAGCGCACACTCCTGCAGGGCGCACTTCCTGTCTCGTCTGAACCCAAACTCTACCCTATGCTGGTCACAAGTAATTCTCATTATATCTGAGTTTTTAGTCAGAACACTCTGGTGGTTCCTTGTCATCTTCAGATAAAATAAAACATTCTCAACTGGCCACGCAGGTGTGGCCTACCTAGCTTCCTGTACCTCCTTCCACCCTCCTGTCAGTGTCCTCCTGCTGTGGGAACAGATTGCCACGGATTTGATGGTTTAAAACAAGACACGTGTCCTACCTTCCAGTTCCCAGGTCGGAAGTCTCCGGGCCGGGACCAGGGGGCAGCACAGTGGTGTGTGGTCAGCAGGCTCCAGGGACAATCTGTCCAGCTTCGGGGGCCGCCTGCAGCCCAGGCTTGGGGCTCCCCCGCCACCTCCCACGCCAGCAGAGTGGCCTGTCAGATCTTTCCTCGCCTCTGACTCTCTCGCCTGCCTCCTACAGGCCCCTTCCCATCACCTTGGCCCCCTGAATGGCCCAGGGTCCCTCCCATCTCAGGGTCCTCAATGTAGTCACATCTGCTAAGTCCCTTTTGCCATATAAGGAAACGTATTCACAGGCTCCACTGATTGGGACATGGACATCTGTGGGGGGCGTTATTTTGCGCATTAAAATCTCTCAACATGGCCCTCCAGGTGGGGCTCAGCTGGTTGGAGCGCCGTCCTGTAGGCACAGGTGGCAGGTTCTTCTCCCGGTCAGGGCACATACTCAGGTTGGGAGTTCAATGCCCTGGTGGATCCCCAATAGGGCACATGCGGGAGGAAACCGATGGATGCTTCGCTCTGGCACTGGCTCTCTCCCTCCCTCCTTTTCACGCTCTAAAAGTCAATTCTTTAAAAAACAAACAAACCCGAACATAACTTCCCATGACAGCAGTCACAGTTCCTTCCTTTGCCCATGATCCTCCTGCTCACTTTGCTCCTGTGGCCATGGCCTTGTGGCTTTCTGCATCTAGAAGAGAACCCCACCCTTCCTTCCCATCACCACGGCCCTCTAGACACACGTTCCCCAGCCTTCCAACCTGTTTCCCTCACAGCAAACTGCCATCATCGCAATGCATCTCCATTAGGGTTAGAACTGTCTTGGATTGGCAGTTTCCAATATTTAAAAACTAGAGGCCTGTTGCATGAAAAGATTCATGCAATAGGCCTTCCCTTCCCCTGGCTGCCGGCACTGGTTTTCCTCCGGCACCCGGGACCCAGGCCTTCGCTCTGGCCAGAGCTGCCTTCAAAGCCTTCGCTGCGTCTTCGCTCGGCCGCTTCGTGCCTACATATGCAAATTAACCGCCATCTTTGTTGGTGGTTAATTTGCATATCTCGCTGATTAGCCAATGGGAGGCGTAGTGAAGGTACGGTCAATTGCCATGTTTGTCTATTATTAGATAGGATGATTCATTTGGAAAGATGTCCTCCCTTATGTCCAAATAAAGTCTTCATGGTTATGTTATGTCTGTCAGAGTCCCAGTCAAAAACTAGTGGCACGTATAAAGGGTTTAGCGGAAGGGAGTTTAACGAAGGGACTGTTTACAGAGGAACTGAGGAGATGGGGGAGCCCCTAACGGTGGGAAG